AAGCCGTTCCCAGGAAACGGCTAGTGGAGACTGTAATAGACTGAGGACATTAGTCTCTGTGTGTCGGTAATTTGTAAAGTGTAGCTCCGAGTCGTGTTTGCAAACCGTCAATAAATCCGATTCACCAATCTATACCCCGTCTAGTCACACACTCAAAATCGTGACACTGACATACTTTGATGAAATTTGGTATGAGAATTATATTGCTAGAGGCCAACCATCCAAGCAGGCTGGTCTAGCCATAGCCCTAGACTTGTATTGGCATGCGTTGCGTTCGGTTCTCTGTCGGGACAACTATCCTGGTTGAAAATAACTGGACTCGGTCACGACCACTTCCATCCATATCCTTCCCACTTCATAAGTGATCCCACGAATCGCTGCTACACAGCGTAGATACCACCAACGCTGTATATTAAATGATAAACAAGAAGTTCTGGGAAGAACTGATCACCTACTTTCCTTTGATACGACACAGAACGCGTAGAAAAAGACACGTCCAACAATTATTCTATTTCTTCGTGTGTATTTGTTGCCATGATAACGTCTCTAGTGAGCCGTTGCCTAACAACACACAAACACAAAGAATGATGGAAGGAATTTATGAAGTACGCCGTTAAGATGTCCTCACATGCCATGATAGACTTGCCAGGTATCATAGATATTGGTCCAGACATTCAGAAGATGACAGGGTGGATACACAGTCACACAGTATGGAGATCAGATAAGCCAACTTTCATATTTAAAAATAAAGAAAGGAGCCTAAAAAGAACCAAGAAGACATTGGAGAGTAATTAATTCCATATAGGCTTGGACTGTGGACTATAGGAAGTATATATGGAAACAAACCATAAACGTACATATAAATGATGTAGAAACCTCTTCATACGTTAACAGCTACAAACCTGGCGACTTAGCGAATTTTTGAAGTTAGACATGGAAGATTTAAGGTATTCGGAACTGGTACTAATGGAATGCTTCTTGCCATTTAGTTAAGATTCTTTTAAATTTATGTCCATATCTAACAAACCCGAGGATTGAAATAGCCAATATTAGAAGAGTGCTTGCTGTTTTGTATGGAAGTGAAACTTGGTGTCTCGGTATAGGGGAAAGACATATATTGAGACTGTTTCAAATCGGTTTCCTGAGAAGAATGTTTGGGCTTAAGAAAGTGCAAATAACAGGAACATGAATTTAAAAAGAACAGCGAGGACCACTTCGTCAAATATCGAAAAGTTTATGAAATTTGGGAGGTAGAGGAGGTCGCAACATGCAGCTGGTTTAGGGAAGATGAAAACGCATATGTAATTTTATCACTCTGGATGCGAGAATAGTATCTCTTATATACATTCACTTCCGTGTTAAATGCAATTTATTTACAGATACTCCATTACTTAATATTAAAAATTGCTACCTTTTCGGCCATACTCAGCCATCTTCTGGCAACTGTCCAACTTGTCAAAATTAGAGGAGCAATTGAAAATGAAGTTGCGTTTAAGAGGAAGTGAATATGTGTAAGTAATACATTAATGCAACAGGATGCTGAAATGCAATAATGTGAAGGGTATCTGATCGGATCTTACAGAAACTGGGTTTGACGTTGTGGACTGGATAAATGAGACTCGTGGAGGTGTTCGCGGGATACAATAAACCTATTCTTAACAAAGCTAATTTCTTTCATGTTATTACGTTTGTCTTAAAAGAATTCCATGCTATGCAGTTATTAAACTTGGGACGCATTAGCTGCGTGTTTCCCGTGTCCGCTGTTGTTTGAGTCCATTTTCCGTATTTAAAAAAGTAGAGAACGGCCTAAAATTAAAATATTATTACAGGGATTCTGTTTGTTATAGGCTCTCTGTTTGTAGAAACATCAATTCACTGTAAAATGAAACACAGATACAACTTCGATTTGAATTATTTAGACAAAAAAAATAATATTTAATTGTTTGTTGCAATAAAAGGCAATACGATTTATGCATATTTTGTCTATTATATCGTTGCTATAGAAATATCTTACGGGCATTGCATGATCAATTAAGGAAGTGGATGGAAAGATTTAATTTATAATATATTATACATTGCATTAATAAAGCTGTTTTATTAATATATTATACATTGCATTAATAAAGCTGTTTCATGTACAGGAAGTCTGCAGCCACCTGCTCACTCTGGTTCCTCAATTACAGATTTTTCTCCCTTGAAGATGGAGGCGATACGTTCCTCCGAAACGTTGATTCACACAAGATCTACACGGCGCCACATTCCAGAAGATGACATTCTTCATAATCACCGGCGTGAAAACCTCAAATCTTACATACTCCTGTTTGTTTCCTAGTAGATTTACTATCGAGGTGAGTAATTACATGAGATATAGACATACATACCACAAACAGTCGTATTATTTTGTTTGCTAAATATGTTGGAAATTAATAGGAGGCAAAAATGTCAAGTGTCTTAATCCATTCATGGAAACGTGAATTTAAGAAGTCATATAGGCATGCTGCCATCTTGTTACCTACGTAGACATATTGGGTTATCATGCTGGTTTCAGATTAAAGCTCTCGACAAGATTTTACTGCACTAGACTCTATGAACATCTTCCAGGTATATGTTTTGAAAAGGAGAGATTTCCACGTCTTCATAAACTAAGTCACATTCCGTGATAATACTAACTACACTTCGCAATATCCATATCAGTATATCAGTATTCACATAATAGACACGTCATCAAGAAGCAAAAGTCTGCTTGCTCTTTCGTGCATCACCGCGCAACATACAGTACTTCCATGCAGCGTATTAATGCTCGACAGTGCGTTGCTATTGTTAACCTGAGCGTTCATAATTACAACGCTTACGAAATGTCTCTTATTTATAGATCACATTAGTCATTTTAGCACATATGAATGCCGTTTTACGCAGAAACTGCTTTCTAAAAGAAGTTATTGAAGGAAAGATAGAGAGGCGGATAGACGTGACAAGAAGACGTAAGCAGATGCTGGATGACCTTGGGACAGAAGAGGATACCGTCATTTGAAGGAGAAAGCTCTAGATCGCATTGGAGGAATTGTTTTGGAAGAGACTGTGGACCTGTCGTCTGACAGATTACTGATGATGATGATGATGATGAATGCCGTTGAGCTTTTGCTTGGTTCCAACGAATTTATAGTTTGTTCCTTCCGTTTTCTATTTCAGCGATGACAGACCTATTTACGCGATCTCTTATTTTAAAAGAACGTAAATTACGTGTGTTCGAAACGAACATTTTTATGAAAATATTTGTACCTTAGAAGATTGAAACGCATGAGCAGTTCAAGATATACGAGAAGGAATTTCTTGATTTGTACAGCTCACCTAGTCTTGTTATGTTAGTGAAATTTTGGAGGCTGTGAAGGGACTGACACATGGCCAGGACGATGGCACAAGAAATGAATACAAAATTTTGGTTGCGAAACCACTGTGCTAAATGCTAATAGGAAGATAGGGAAGGATATCGGATGATAAGATTAATATGCATCTCAGGAAAATAAGTGTGGGAAAAGGGAGTGAATCGAAGTAGCTCAGAATTGCTTCCAGTATCTAGGTTTCATATTAAAGGTGTTGAACTTTCGGATTATGCTCCCAAAGAGTTCGATCACTGCAGAAAGTTCCAACACGTAATTTTATTTAATATTATCAGATACAACATATACTCCCGAGTATATGTGTTACAGTTCCCTTCACATAAGAGTGAACTGCTGTTAATTAACATACTTTTTTGAGTGGAGACTACAAGTGAAATGTGTGTTGTTGAAACAGTGAAATGATTTATTATATATTTAACAATGTTCCATATATGTACATATGAATTAATTATTTTTTCCTTCCAGGTGTTGTTTTTCTTATGTTTTATTGTTGTTAACTATAATGATAATAATAAGAACAATAGAAACAGCACATGTTTATTGGGTGAATAATTACAAGCGTATACTGTGTTACACAATGACAGAAAATTGTTTCTGTTGTAGCTGGAATACGTGTATTTATGACATTTGATATGTAATTAACACAGCTTGCTTACATTCCAGCTGATGTGTTCAGCATTAGTTTACTTCATCATTGTAGAACTATAGGAACTGTTTTACCATTCACTTTTAGAATTTAAGTTATAATCATTACAATCCTTTTGATATCGGTGGGATGAGCTTTGTATTTTTAAATTTGTTTTCTTAATAAACGCTGAAAGGATATTTTCTGTCGCAACCCTCGCAATGTCCAAGATCGATTACGTCGATACTTGTTATATTGAAAGATGTTTCTCTTCTGACTGACTGATGAAAAGAAAGCATCCTTAAAACAAAATTGTATANACAACCCGAATAAAATTTCCTTGGAACTTTTTACTTGTGTATCTCTATTTATACGAACGCTGGAAGAGTTACAAACTGTAAACTGTAGACTGGAATGCTATTATATGTTACTTGTACGTAGGGCAAATAGGCCTTAATGAGAATATACTACGTATATTGGGTGTATTTCCATCCGTTCGTGCATTTCATATATGAAACTACAAAACTTGTTTCTCTGAAATTCGGTACCTAAAATTTACATAAAAATTGTCTGGCTAGTTAAAGTTTGGCCCCGTATGGCTTTAATATAACTCTTGCTTTACATTGGTGTTCATATCTAACGTTATGAATGTTCTCAAAAACAAAACTTGCTAATGGTACAAAACATCAGTTCCCTTAAAATGTAAAACTTTTGTATATACATTTGCATGTAGGACATAATTTGAACGAACACCCTCTATCCGCTAAAGTTGGCACTAACTTCGCCGATAAGCGGCGGTCGCTCGGTCGGTATACTATAGTTCCCTTGCGGACTAAAACCACGGAGTTTGTTTTTGTGCGTAATAACTCATTTCTTTAAACAGACCTGTCAGCAACAGACTTGTTTGTTCCTTGCATTTTAAAATAAAATCTGGTTTATACTAGAAAAGCGTTCGACATAATTGATAAGACCAGAGAAAAGAGAATTTGATATTTATTTGCAATAAATTAACATAAAGAATTTAGAGGAATACACATTTTCAGAGAGGAGACACTTCAAAACGTATGTGCTGTATTGGAGTAAACCTTTTAACACATATAGCGTTCTGTATTCTGGGATACATGGCCCTGTAGCTTGGTGAAATTCAACTGATGTTTTGCAGGAACATAGCCTCCATCTGCAGGGCTGAAGAACAATCCAAGCTAGAAACCACTATGAAGCAGGCAGCAAGTTACTTGCTTCCATCACTTCTTTTGTCTATTTTCATATATATACTTTTATATTTCTCAACCAGGCTTCCGGTTTCTTCAAACCAACTTCATGAAAATGCACTGAAAATGTGTTTTCGTCAGGCAGATAGTGTAGTTTGCTTTGAGGTATCACAGATATGAAATAGCTTTGGCAGTGTAGCTGTTTTCATTGCCTCACTTTCTGAAGGTCTCCAGCCAGTTGTTGATTGAGGTATTTGGTGTTGTTCTGAGTCCCGCCAAGTAAATGATGAGATATTACCTCGAGGCTAGTCACACTCACGTCCTTCTGCTTCGTTCCAAATTCATTTTTTCTTATTTGTGCTTTATGCATTATCCTGTGTTTAAAGTATAGTTAGATATTATTTCAAAGAGACGGATTAATTTTGATTGGAAATAGAAGCCACACCAGCCGGACTTGCATATTCCGTAACTTCGTCAAGCCTTTATTATTGGTCTTACTGAGCAGTATTTTAGTCTAAAAGGATACTGTCATCCTCCCAGGTCTGTACATTGTGAGAAGCACTTTGAGTTGTTAAATACTGTACCTATACTGAAATGGGATTAATCAGTTACGTTATTGGTCTCTTTGTCTGTGTTACATATTGTCCTCGTTGTCGTTTCCTTTCGAGCTCTGTACAGATTTGAGGGCAAACCCGTATAGAACTCTTTCATGTTATTTGAGAGCTTATTTTTGGATTGCATAATTGGTCTTATAGCTCCCACCAAATTAGAATATTTTATTTTGAGAATGGATATATCGTGTTTTATTTCAGAACTATCAAATTGATATTTTAAAACAATTTTAGAAAATGTATTTATATGCATTTCATTTGAAAACCTTAAATGAAAAATTGATATGAGTTCAGAGAAAATATGTAAAATTATGTTAATTCCTGAAACGATATGGAATTGCAGTACTGAACTCTATGTGTATTTCTTTCAACATATATGTTTGTATGGCCTAGTTAAGCTAACATGTACTTATGAAAGCTGATTTTGTACGTCGTGTTTCATTTAGAAAAAAGAGCATTAAACGGACGTATATCGAGCTATGCTGAGACGATACAGTAGTAAACCGATGAACAGAGCTAGTAAACATATATTTTAATTTTGTTTCCAATGAGCTTCACAAGCAGGTGGCCAAAATTGGGCATACTGAATTGTTTAAAAACTTGAATAATCTGAAAACAGGAACGGAAAGGAGTATAGGTATACTATTGTGCATTCTGCTGAACGGTGTTATGCCTTCGGCATATCGAAACACACTTTATAAGTTTCACCGGCCCTGCAGCAACAGATTAAAAGCTTTATCCATGCATAACAGTGTTATTAATGTTCTGGCTTGAGTTTGTAGCTTGCCTTCCATATCTCAAAGAGGCAGATAGTGGAGTGGAACCTGTAGAAGATGGCCAGCGGCATAGAAATGTGGGTGATGACTGTCCAGGGCCACACACCGAAGAACTTGAGGTGCTCTGGGTTGTATTCAGCATGCCCTTTCTGCATAGTATTAATCATCCACATGGCGGCATTGGCCACAATGAGGAACGTGATCAGTTGCCTGCCAGGTTTGCGTTTCTTGTCGGCCTTTGTCCTACACCTTCTACTGGATGCATCAAGCACTAGGATTGTCTGCGCTGTTGTTTCTGTAAGAGCAAGGATCTCAATGACCACTCCGGCTGGTACGTCCGTTTCCTCCGCGTAGTTGAATCCGATAATGGAAAATATGCAATAGACGTACATTCCGGCCTGTGACATGACCAGTAGAGTGTTGTCCAGGCCCATACCATGACCCCTGTTTGTCTCTGCAAAGTAACAGTAAATTGGCATGAGAAGATTTGTAAAATGATAAAGGGAATTGGATGTGAACGAGTGTCTTGTTACGGACCTACTCTGCTAGCCCCTGAGGATAAATAAGTATCGGGTACTATTCGAATGATAATTAACAGGAGAAAACTGAAGTATACGGAGAAGAACCTGCCCCACTGCTACTTTGTCTCTCACAAACCCCAGATAAGCGCCCTGGAATTGATCCACTTCCTTCAAGATGGTGAGAAATGGCTAATCGCGTTAGCCATTTTACGCCCATGACTGCCCAAACTAAGATGCAGGTCTCATGGTTTCATGCCTCTGAAGTCTATGAAAAACATATTTCGGAATCGAGGGGTAAGTTGTACATCCCACTTTGAAGCTGAAGATAAACGTATTCTACTTTAGAACCTATATCACTTCGACACGTTCAACTTTGTTTATACGTGGTAGCTGAAGGCCGTCTATCTACGTTTAGATATTACATCGACGTACCTGCAGGAAGTATTCTGATCCTGAGCATGCATACCAGTACTGCCAGGATGCACAGAAGGTAAATGCAAATCTCACACAAGCTGACTTCAAACACAGCGAGCTTCACGTATTCTTCTTCACTGTGCAACACCAGGAAGAGTACGAGACTGATGATGGTGAGGACAAGCACCAGGATGCCGGCACACAGTCCCTTGTGGGAGCTGTGACAATCTACTGTGAAGTGGTGAGCCGAGCGTAGGCCACCTGCAAACGGGAACAGCACAGGGGGCGTGCGCTTAAAGCTCCAGGAATTCTCAACTTAAAGATATGACTCCCGGTTTACTCCTGAAGAAACAATACACTGCAACAATTGTACAGGAGTCTGGTAGGGCTTCAGAGTCCAAAGCCAGCCTGAACACAGTTGTGACGAAGAAAAATCGCTGCCTCTACCGGTTTTCCAGTCCCCAACCTGCCACCTCACTGACAGGAAAATTAAAGTTTGTATACACGTATGTGTGCATTCCTTGCGACGAGCTGATCACCCGCCCAAGGAGTCCTACCGAATGTGTAAGATCTAGAAAAAACCGAAGTGAACGGAGAAGTTCATGTAGATAGGCCGAGGCCTACTGGGGCTGCAGTGCCAAGAGGAAAAAAAATGTGTGCATTACAATACCTGTAGAATAAACTAGTTTGCAATAGATGAAAATCAAATTCCAGTAAGGGATACTGAATAGCAGAACATACTGTTGGAAACCGTTAGCACTCTAATCTAGAGTAAACCTTCACTTAGTTTCATTCTTGTGTGATGAAGCAGCTTTGCTCTAGGCTGGTTTGCCAACGTTTCGGACAACCTTCCAGTCTCGAATCTTAAAGGGGATCTTGATGCCAAAATTTCTAATTTCTTGCAAGGAGGCAGTAGAGAATTCGTTGCTCCAATGTCTGGCCAATTAGAAGACAGATCTTATTTTTGTTGCTCATATCAAATTCCAGTGCAATTCATTTTTGCTCCACAAGTAAATGCCATCCCAGCAACAAGTATTTACCCACTTTCATTTCCTAAGAAAAGGCTGGTATTTCCATTCTGTCTATATTTGTCTCAGTTTCAACTTTTGAACGAACTAACCGATTTTGACGAAAAGTTGTCTGAATGTTATGCCATCGAAGTCGACTTCCAGCGTCCTTCTATATATTTTCTACCATCATTAAAACAACGTGGTATACGTGCACACGAACTTAAGGGATAGCAACACCGTCTAATCTTGAGAACGAAGGCCTGAAAAATACATGGTAACAGATATGCGAAAAATATGGAACTCCTGTTAAAGTGTTTCTTTGTAGACTGTAAAAAAGAACTCAGTAATATACCATTGGGCGTAGGAACAGGGGCTTTTGTATGAAGACATTCCTTCAAATTGTGTAAGAAATGCCGTTTATAAGCCAGCAGTTACGGGAACAGCACAAATGCGGAACACGAAGATCATATCCAAGAAATATAGCTTAGATAGAATATCTACTTACGTTAGTTCCAAAAACAAAATGTTACTACTGCTAGTAGTAGTAGTAGTAGTAGTAGTAGTA